AACTAAATTGAACGCTAATTTTGGCCAGTGTTTGTGACCAAGTGGTTACTAAAAAAGACTGGACATACCCCATTTGCAATACCTTGGGTTGTCTTCTTTTGCAAATGGTATGCCATCATGGGGGTAATTCTCATTCCTGGGCTACCATACGCTCTCAAAGGCAACGTAACCAACCTGGCCATTTTCAATGTAAAAATATTTGACCCATATATTTAACCTTGTAACTTTCAAAAATACTATAAAACCTGTACATGGGGGGTACTGTTTTACTCGGGAGACATCGCTGAACACAAATATTAGTGTTTAAAAACTGGAAAACGTATCACAACAATTATATCATCAGTAAAAGTGCTGTTTGTGTGTGAAAAATGCAAAAAGTCACTTTCACTGACAATATCATCGCTGTGATATGTTTTACTGTTTTGAATCACTAATATTTGTGTTCAGCGAAGTCTCCCGAGTAAAACAGTACCCCCCATGTACAGGTTTTAGGGTGTCGTAGAACGTTACAGGGTAAAATACAGTGCTAGCAAATTCAATTCTCTGGAATTTCGGCCTGGGTTGGCAGGCAGGTCCCTTAAATTGCAATCAATAAAATTACTGAATTATGTAAAACTATTACATAAATACGCACGTAGAATTTAAATATATATGCATATTTATATATCTGAAGTCTACGTGTATATTTATATAATTATTTATGTAATTTTGTATATGGCCATATGTATATTTCTTATTATTTTTATTTATTTTTATATACATAGATATATATACAAATTCATTCTAAGTGTATTTTGATATAAATATATATATATATTAATTTTAAAATACAGTTAGAATAAAATTTCATATAGATATATAATTTTTTTAATTTTTTTATTATTTTAGAAATTTTTTATTTCATTTAAATTACTTATTATTTATATTTTATAATAATATATATATACAATATATATAGTTATTATATATATATTATATATATACGTGTGTAATTTAATTATAAGTGTATTTTTATATTAATATAAGTACATATTAATATAAAAATACACTTAGTATGGCATTATATGTATATGATATATAGACATATATTATATACATATAATATATGTCTATATATCATATATACACATATATAATTTTTTTTATTTTTTATTAACATTAACCTTTATTTTATTTTTTGATTTTACACTAGCAGGGAGACTGCCTGTCAGCACAGGCAGTCCCCCTGCAGGCAGACACATGGACACCTATTGTGACCATGTGATCGCTGTGTTAAGCGATCACATGGCCACAGGGGTCCTAATTCAGTGTGGGGAGACTGTCTGGGCTGCAGGCAGTCTCCCCACACCGGGAGCCATGCTGATCGCCGCCGGGGGAACGACGGCGATCAGGTAAGTAACGGAAACCGTTAGGACGGTTCAGGACCGTCATCGGTCCTCAAGGCAAAAATGCCGATGACGGTCCTGAACCGTCCTGGGTCACTAAGGGGTTAATATTTATCTCTCACACAATTAACTTTTATTTGAAAAAAAACTGGTGATATACTAAATAACAGATTTGAAGGGGGGTCCCAGTATTCCTATGCCCCTCCCCCTTGACAGGCAGAACAAAGGCAACCTGTTAGTTTCACCATTGGTGAAACCATTTAAGAATGCTTTGACAACTTATCTGGGTCATACAGAGAGCCTGTCACTGCTCCCCTGCTGCCTGAAACTCCTGCCAGCGAACTAAGCTCAGCTGATGCTCTTGGTCAATGACCGCAGGCCTGCACAGCCAAGCTCAGATGACGTAACATGATGACGTTCCTTGCAGGTACTTCTGGCAGAAGAAGTGGTGGCATGCACCCTGCAGGATTCAGGTAAGTTACACCAGGGCACTTCTAGCATAGTGGGCTATAATGGTTTTGGTGTTTCAGGTGTAGCTATAATAGTATTTAGCTCATTAAAATACAGTGTAAGCTTCATAAAACAACAGTAAAGAAATAGCAGATGTCATGTATAATAAAAAGTGACAATATTACACCCCTAAATACACCATACATGTAATGTATACACAAGGCAAGACAGGTTGTGGTGGTAGGGGACTCTATCATTAGGAGAGCAGATAGAGCAATCTGCGGCTCTGATCGGCTCAACCGGACAGTATGCTGTCACCCGGGTGCTCGGGTTCGGCATGTTGCTGACAGAGTGGATGGATTATTGGGAGGGGCTGGGGATGACCCAGCGGTCATGGTCCATGTTGGTACCAATGACAAAGTAAGAGGAAGATGGAAGGTCCTAAAGAATGATTTCAAGGAATTAGGTAGCAAACTTAAGAAAAGGACCTCCAAGGTGGAGATATTACCTGTGCCACGCGCTACAGTGGAAAGGCAGCGGGAGATTAGAGAGGTCAATGCGTGGCTTAAATCTTGGTGCCAGAAGGAGGGTTTTTGGTTTTTAGAGTACTGGGCCGACTTTGCGATTGGGTACAACCTTTATAGTAGTGATGGATTGCACCTAAACGTAGAGGGTCTGCAGTGCTGGGGGATAGGATGGCTAGAAGGTTGGAGGAGATTTTAAACTAGTAGTAGGGGGGAGGGTCATAGCAATCTACAAAATGGAGATAGGACAGAAAGGAGATGGGCTTTAGCACAGTATAAAGGGGGTGGAGATGGGGAGGGGCAAGCTCAGAACAGAGAAGCTATGTAATGATGATAATTCACAAAATATACAAGTGACGCATAATATTAAATGTATGCTTACTGATGCAAGGAATCTAAATAACAAAATGGGGGAACTAGAGGCATTAGCATACACTAAACAATATGATATAATAGGCATAACTGAAACATGGTTGGATGAGACACATGACTGGGCAGTTAACTTAAATGGGTACATGTTATTTAGGAAGGATAGGAAAAACAAGAAGGGCGGTGGGGTATGTTTGTATGTCAACCATGATTTAAAGCCAAATCTTGAGCAAATGAGGAAAATGTGGAAGCTTTATGGGTAAATATCTGCTTTGGGGAAAAGAAGGGAAACCAACTATTGGTTGGGATATGTTATAAACCACCTAATGTTAATATTGGCGAGGAAAAACAGCTGTTTGAGCAAATTGAGAAAGCTGCAGATCTGGGTAACACTTTAATTATTGGAGATTTTAATTACCCGGACATAAATTGGGACAGAGGGACTAGTAGCTCAGCAAAGGGAATTAGGTTTTTAAACTTGTTAAATAACACCTTCATGTCACAACTTGTACAAGCACCAACTAGAATGGACGCTTGTCTGGACCTGGTTTTAACAAACAACGTTGACCAACATTCAAGTAGGTGAGCACTTGGGAAATAGTGATCACAATATAGTGTCCTTTGAAATAAACTCAAAAAAACAAAAGTATACAAATTTTAAAAAGGCCAATTTCAATAAGTTAAGGGCAGCTTTACAATATATTGACTGGCATAAACTCTTTAGTGAAAAGAACACTGAGGATAAATGGATCATCTTCCAACAAATATTAGAAAGGTACATTTCTCAGTATGTACCGTTGGGAAATAAATATAAAAGAAACAAATTAAAGCAATGTGGCTTAGTAGAGAAGTAAAACAAGAGATTAAAAATAAGAAAAGGCCATTTAAAGCATTTAAATCGGACAAATCAGATGCATCTTATAAAAGATATAAGGAAGCAAATAATGCGTGCAAAAAGGCAATTAGACTTGCTAAACTTCAAAATGAAAAAATGATAGCTACAGAGAGCAAAATCAACCCCAAAGCATTTTTTAAGTACATAAATTCTAAAAAAGCCAAAAATGAAAGTGCAGGTACACTAAAAACTGAAACGGGGGTGTAAGTTAATGAAGACCAAGAAAAGGCAGGAATTTTAAATAGCTATTTCTCCTCCGTATACATTAAGGAAGAACCCATGGCAATAGATGTGCAAATGATTGCTACTAAAAACTTGCAGAATAATTGTAATTGGTTAACTCAAGACAAGGTGCTGCAGCAACTAAAGAAAGTTAATATAAACAAAGCTCCAGGGCCTGACGGTATCCATCCATGTGTTCTTAACGAACTAAGTGTAGAAATAAGTGAACCTCTGTTTTTAATCTTTCAAGATTCTTTTCTTTCAGGAAGTGTTCCGGAGGGTTGGAGGAAGGCAGATGTGGTTCCTATATTCAAAAAGGGTTCAAAATCCTTGCCTGGAAATTATAGACTTAACTTCTGTGGCTGGGAAAATATTTGAAAGGTTATTAAGGGATAATATTCAAGAATTCCTTGAGAAGAACATGGTTATCAGCAAAAATCAACACGGTTTTATGAAGCACAGGTCATGTCAAACTAACTTGATTGCGTTCTACGAAGAAGTAAGTAGAAGTATAGATCAGGGTGTTGCCGTGGATGTGATCTATTTGGATTTTGCCAAGGCATTTGATACAGTTCCACACAATAGATTAGTGTTCAAACTCAAGGAAATCGGTCTAGATGAAAATGCTTGTTCTTGGGTAGAACATTGGCTTAAAAACAGAGTACAAAGAGTTGTCATTAATGGTAAATTTTCAAGCTGGACAGAGGTGGCAAGTGGTGTCCCTCAGGGGTCTGTTCTGGGACCCCTTCTATTTAACATGTTTATAAATGATCTTGAAGACAACATTGAAAGTCATGTTTCAGTGTTTGCAGATGACAAAACTTTGTAAATTAATACAATGTGAGCAAGATAATACTTTGCTGCAGAAGGATTTAGATAGACTGGGGGTCTGAGCACTCAAATGGCAGATGAAATTTAATGTTGAAAAATGCAAAGTTATGCACTTCGGCGTAAAGAATACACAAGCAACGTATACCCTTAATGGAAGCGAATTAGGGATAACAACACACGAAAAGGACTTGGGAAGTGTTATAGACAACAAACTATGCAGCAATGTCAATCAGCAGTGGCCAAGGCCAGTAAGGTATTGTCATGCATGAAAAAGGGCATTCATTCTCGGCACGAGAATATCATTTTGCCTCTTTTGCAAGTTTGGGCACCTGTTCTAAAGAAGGATATTATGGCACTAGAAAAAGTGCAGAGGTGGGCTACAAAACTAATAAAAGGAATGGAACATATCAGCTATGAAGAAAGGTTAACAAATTTAAACCTATTTAGTTTAGAAAAACGTCGCCTGAGAGGGCATATGATAACATTATACAAATATATTCGGGGCCAATACAAACCATTGTGTGGAAATCTATTCACAAACCGGACTTTACATAGGACACGAGGCCATGCGTTTAGACTGGAAGAAAGAAGATTTTTTTACTGTAGGAACAATCAGGGTTTTTTTACTGTAGGAACAATCAGGATGTGGAATTCTCTGCCTGAATCCATACAGATGTTCAAACAGCTACTAGATGCATACTTGCTGTAACGGAACCCCGGGCATAACAGGGGTTAAACCGCTGTTTAGAAGATCTTCCCCTTCCAGAGCCACAGGCAGCTACTGCAGAATACCAAACTCCTGAACTGAATACAAGGGAATGCTCCAAACTCCCGAACTGCATACAAAGTAGCACTCCAAACTCCCGAACTGGAACTTCACGAATAGCTGCTAGCAGACGAACAGGAAAAGCATGTGAGCGGCTTACACTCCTGGCAATCAGTCTCTAACAGCATAAAGTAAATCCCCCCAAAGACGAGACAGAGCTCCGTGTTGAGGGTCAAGCAGTGGTCTGATTTATTCAGGGCTACCTGCCCAGTATTTATGCAGGTCTCCCACCTGGTGGACACTCCCCTAGGGGACCAGATGGAAGACTGTAACACAGACAGACATGTACTACATTCAGACACACAGAAGTAAAACATCCCCACAATGTATCCTAATTTCCCTCCCTCTATCCTGGAGATAATTTTGAAGTAATCCAATTATCTCCCAGGACAGAGGCAAAACTCCATTATACACGTGGGGACACAAAGACAGTAAAATACATTAAAACATACAGTGTTACATTTAATACATAAGATCCATACATGTCACATATCCCCAGATAGCTGGGATCTGAGCGCACATAACTACCGAATCGCGCTCAGATCCTATACACACAGTTCAAATGCCATGGAGTCAAAGTCTTTAATTACATGAATAGGCTCCATGGCATAGCTATCTGGGTTAACATATTCACATAGAAAAAGTCCCGATCACTCCAGCGTTCGTCTAAACAGCCACGAATAGAAACAGGGAAGGCTTGAGGCTCAGCACCGCTGGCCGTCCGGGGAGCTCCATAACACTGCCACCTAGCGGCCGCTAAGTGTAACCGCGGCCACCCAGTAATAGTCAATTAAGCTGCGGTTAACCGCAGCTGCTGGGTGATCAATTGACTGCACACGCTAGCTTCCCGGTGGTCGCGCCTTCATGCGGCTTTCGGTAGTTTAACAGTGGAACACATAGGGACTATACAGGCAGGGAAATAAACTGAACAACAGATGAATGGAGGGAAAATAAATGTAATCCATATACAGACAGTTCTGTTACACTTGCAAAAACAGAATATTCAAGAATATAATCTTTCAATGTAGGGTAATAACTGCTTGATCCAAGGATAAATCTGACTGTCATTCTGGGGTCAAGAAGTAATTTTTCTTCCTAGCTTGTTGCAAAATTGTGCTTCTAACTGGGTTTTTTTGCCTTCTTTTGGATCAACAGCAAAAAACAAATGTGAGGAAGGCTGAACTTGATGGACGCAAGTCTCTTTTCAGCTATGAAACTATGTAAATCTACATAAACAATGCAATTCAAATGTAGCAAATGGTGTAAACTAAATATTATAGTATTCTTATCCATTTGTTTTTATTATTATTTATTTTTGCAGTACAGTGATTAGGTACAAACAGGCTTGTGGTACCCCAATGGCATTCCTCAATCTTTGTGACATATTTCACAAGTGGGGTTAATATAGGCAGTGCACATTTTTTATATAACCGGTACATGCGAAAACATTAAGCTTTTGTTAGTGTATGTTGCATTGAGATGACAGTAGTTGCTGTGTCTAAGATGCTTTCCAACCCTGTGCCGTAGAAAGCGGAGAGGTGGAGGTGTTGCGAGTGGGCCCATAGTGTGGTTTGTCAGCGTATGAAGTGCTTGAGTGCGTACTGAAGGTGTATTCCCTGTATTGTCTGTACTCGTGTTTTGGAGGGTTAACATAGAGATCACAACTGTTGCTTAGTGCCTGTAATGAAGGGTGACGTTTGGTTTACACATTTTAAACTGGCTTATGTGAGTTCTAGTCTATTTTTCTCTGACAGGCTAGTCATTCTGACCAAGCTAGGAGCATATTTATATTAGGTTACTCCAGCAAGTTAGGCAACATATCATGTTGAGAGCAATTATACATGAGGCTACTCTGGCCAGCCAGGGAGACAGATCATGCTAAAAGAACAAAACATTTATATATTAGGCTATTCTGGCGGGCTAAGCAAATGCATCATGTTGAATAAGTAAAAGCAAAACATTTATGCATTAGGCCACTCTAACAGGCTATGGAAACATCTAGCTAAAACCAACTGTATATGAAGTTACTCTGGTGAGCCAGGCATCGGCAGTGTCCAAGTCTTGGTGGTTGTCTCCTGTGACAGAACCATCTGCCTGCCTATTGTGGTGGATTCGTCTATTTCTGCCCCCTTTCGTGTAAATGGCTGTTTCTATAGCCCAGCCATACGAATGACTGTTTTTTCCCAAACAAACCTACCGAACGGACGGCCACCCAAGAGAGAAGTGTGCTGCTGGTTAACCTATTGATCCCAATTAGAACGTTGTGGTTAACCGCAGACAATTCTCAATTAAACAAATTCAGGGTGGTCGTCGTTCGTATGTCGACCACGAGGCAGCGGCCATTTTAAACCACGCGAAAGCCCAGCGGTGTTTGGCTCTATTTCTATGGAACTAAAAACAGACACTTTTTCTGCAGAACACCGCTGAAACAACGGAACGCCTGGCTGCCTCCACAAAGCATACGAATACCGGCTGTTTGAAGCATACGAAAGGACTTAACCCAGATAGCCTTCCCATGGAGTCATTTGTATACCGAAGGACTGTAAGAACTTTGACTCCATGGCGATTGAACTATGTGTGTGGGATCTGAGCGCTATTCGCTAATAATATGCACTCAGATCCAGGATATCTGGGGATATGTGATACGAATGGGAAATGTTCGGTTATTTTAAAGTTATGTATTTTTATGTCTTTTATGATTTTATATTTAAAATGGTGACTGGCTTTGTCCTGGAGATAATTGAGTTACTTGGTAATTATCTCCAGGGCAGAGGGGAGGGAATCATAGTGCATTGTGGGTAAAACTGTGTCTATGTGTCTGGAATGTCCCCATATCTGTATGTCATTTAAGTCTCCCATTTGGTCCCCTAGGGGAGTGTCCACCAAGTGGGAGACCTGCAAAAACACGGGCAGGTAGCCCACAGTAAAGCCAGATCCTGTTTGACCCTCAATGCGGAGCTTCTGTTTCGTTATTGGGGGGATTTATTATTTGCGTTTAGAGACTGCTGGATGGAACTGAAAGCCGCTTGGTGGATATTATTGTTCGGCGGCTAGCAGCTGTTCGTGGAGTTCCGTTCGGGAGGTTGGAGCCTGTGACAGACCCATCTGTCTGGATTACAAATGATTTGTTCGCCTGTTTTGCCGGTTACATGAATTTCCCCATTCGTATGCTTTATTCAAGGGAATGTCGGTTTTGTCGAACGGAACAACCGAACGAACGGCCACCCAGAAGAGAAGTGTGCTGCTGGTTAACCTATTGATCCCAATTAGAACGTTGCGGTTAACCACAGACACTTCTCAATTAAAACCGAATGCCGGGTGGTCGTCGTTCGTATGTCGACCACGAGGCGGCGGCCATTTTGTCCATGCGAACGACCAGCGGTGTTCGACGATTATTTCATGGATCTGAAAACGGACACTTTTTCAGCCGAACACCGCTGAAGCCGTCGACCTCCCCTTCTCAATCGACAAAAGTATACGAATGCCAGCCGTTCGGGAGATTCAACCACACGAATGGACTTAACCCAGATAGCCGTCCCATGGAGTCAATCGCATACCGAAGAACTGAAAGAGACTTTGACTCCATGGCGATTGAACTGTGCGAATGGGATCTGAGCGCTATTCTCCAATAATGTGCACTCAGATCCAGGCTATCTGGGGATATGCAATACGAATGTAATATGTTCGGCAGTTATGAAGTTATGGATTTTCATGTGTTTTTGTGACTTGTGTTTAAAATGGCGATTGCCTCTGCTCGGGGAGATAATTGAGTTACTTCCCAATTATCCCTCGAGCAGAGGGGAGGGAACTGTGATGCATGCTGGGAATATTGTGGGGATGTATGTCCAAAATGTCCCCATGTCCTTCTGTGATTTCAGTCTCCCATTTGGTCCCCTAGGGGAGTGTCCACCAAGTGGGAGACCTGCATAAATACCAGGCAGGTAGCCCACAGTAAATCAGTTCGTGTTTTACCCTCAAAGCGGAGCTTGGTCTCGTTATTGGGGGGATTTTATTACCGGCGCTTAGAGACTGCTTATTGGAATTATTTGCCGCTTGGGAGATATTAGCGTTCGGCTAATATTGGCAGTTCGTGGATTTGGAGCTCGTGGAGGGAAATAGCCGTACAGGTACCGTTCGGGAGTTTGGAGTGTTCCCTAGCTGGCGGTTCGCATGGTTTTACTATACACGCTACCAGCCTACATTATTGCGAACGGGGAGCATTCCCTAAACGGCGGTTTGTGCATTTATTACTGGAGGTACCGTAACAACTGGTGGCAAGCGACGGGATGATCCTCAACGCCCAAAGAGACCACTACAACCAGGACTAAATGGAATTACAATACCAAAACCTGAGGAGAGCTACCCTAAAGGATTTATTGGAGCAAAGAGGGGGACAAGCCAGTAACCTCAGGAAGAGGGATATTATTGCGTTATTGCTGGAAATGGATGGAGTACCAGCGGCAGAGGGAACCAATGGACCCAGCGCAGCTGACAGAACCCCCGAGGAGGCAAGCTTTGACCGGGCGGTAAGAATCAGGCTGGCACATTATGGTCCCAACCCGACTACAGAGACCATTGACCGGGTCATGGCAGCTGTGGAGGCCAACCTGCTTCGCCAAAGCGGTGCTGCAGCAGCCCCAGTCACAGCAAACCCGGGAGATAGGAAAAAGGTACCATTTACTGCGTTTAAAGCCTTCAGTGAAACAGAAGGAGAGATTGATGGGTACCTTGCTGATT